ATTACTATATTAGGCAGAAGAATCCATCCATCCGTCAGATCAGATGAGGCGGACACTCACTTGACTAAACACTGGCCAGTAATATTGTGTAGTTATTTAGTGGATGTCTTTTTTAAGAGGTGAACGTGATCTGACAATACTGGGGGAAATATTATAATGTGGTGATGGTAAGAATAATACTCGTTTAAATGAATATTTTTGTCTATCTGCATCTCTCTCTCTCTCTCTCTCACAGTAATTGCTGCCCCAAAGTTACAGGACCTGTCGACAGTGTCTCTTGTAGAAGTTTGCCCACCACACCCGCCTCCCTCCCCCCTCACACCTGACTCTCTCCTCCCTCTCTCATTGGGTTACTCTCACTCTATCACACTGGATTACTTCCCTATTTCCTCACACACTTAGTTACTTCTCCTCCTCTTTTCTGGCTTACTCTCACTCCCTCTTTCTGGCTTACTCTTACTTCCTCTCACATTGGGTTACTCTCACATCTTGCTGCCTCTCACAAACTCTCAACGGAGTCAATTGGCCGAATATAGTAGAACACAGCTCTCTCACACACACCCGTCTGAGAGAGAGAGAGAGAGAGAGAGAGAGAGAGAGAGGTCCTGGGAAGTTTAACACACTAGAGAGACAACCTCTCACACACTCCCCCACACACTCACTCACCAGGCGTAAGGTAAGAGACCTGAGCAAGATAAAACACTTAGACATATAACCTCTCTCACACCCTCTCCCACTCACCCTCTCTCACTTACTCTCTCTCACTTACTCTCCCACTCACCCTCTCTCACTTACTATCCCACTCCACCCCCACCCCACTCCCCACCAACCTCCCCACCCCACCTCCACCCACCCCACCCCATCCCCACACCCCACCTCTCCCCACACCCACCTCCCCACCCAACCCCTCCCACCCACTCCACCCCCACTCCCCACCCCACTCCCCACCCACCTCCCACCCCACCTCCACCCATCCCCCTCACTTCACTCCCCACCTCAACCTCCCACCTCAACTCTCCTCACCCACTCCCACCACCCTCCCCACCTCACTCCCACCCCACCTCTCCCCACCTACCCTCCTCACCCCACTCCCACCAACTCTCCCCACTCCCACTCCACCCTACCTCCCCACCAACTCTACTTCACCTCTCCTCACTCCCCACTCCTCAATTTACCTCCCCACCACCCTCCCCACCACTCCCCACCACCCCTCCTCACCCCACTCCCCACCACCCTCCTCCCCACTCTCCCCACCCCACCCCCCACTCCCCACTCCTCACACCACCCCTCCCCACCTCAACCCTCCCCACCTACCTCCCCACCACCCTCTCCTCACCCCACTCCCACCAACCTCCTCCCCACCCCACCTCCTCACCCACCTCCCCACCCACTCCCTCACCCACCCTCCCCCCCACTGTCCCACCCACCTCTCCTCACCTGGTCCTCCCACTCACCCTCCCTCTCTCACCCCACTCCTCCCCACCCACCTCTCCCACTCCACACCTCCCCTCACCCCACTCCTCCCACCACCTTCCCACCAATCTCCCCACTCCCCACTCTCTCATTCACCCTCTCCCACTCCACACTCTCACTCACCCTCCCTCACTCCCTCTCACCCAGTCTCTCTCACTATCACTCACACACTTACCGAAACACAAGAGAGAGTGAGTGAGTGAGTGCTAAGGATAATATACCTCCCACACACACACACACCTCACCAGGTTAATGAATGACTCAACCATGGTTCTGAGGTAAATTTTCAATGTCTTAAACAAGTCTTTCACTGCTCCTCTGAAATGAGACACCAGAACTGTCCCACCCTGAGTCCTGGAGAGATGCAGCCTATATCACCCAGGCTGGGAACCTGACTGGCTGGGGTTCTGTGAGTGGGCTGCCAGTAAACCTTATTACGAAATGAGAAAACGATTACCTGTAGATTAGAACTCCTCATTTTATTTCACCTGGAGATTAACTAACCTAACCTAACCTAACCAACCTTGACCTAACCTAATCTAACTTAATCCACCAGGTAGGTTAAAGTGGTTAGTCTTTAGGTGAAATAGGAAGGGAGAACATAAGAACATAAGAACATAAGAATATAAGAATGGAGGAAACTGCAGCGGGCCTATTGGCCCATACTGGGCAGTTCCGTTTACACCCAACCCCTATTGCTCATATAAGCATCCAACCTACGTTTGAAGCTATTCAGCGTATTCGAGTTAATGATGATATTTGGTAACTTGTTCCATTCATCCACTACTCTGTTTCCAAACCAGTGTTTACCTATTTCACGCCTAAATCGAAATTTGTCTAATTTAAAACCATTGTTACGAGTTCTCTCCTGGTTGGATAGTTTGAGTACCTTTGTAATGTCCCCTTTGTTTAACCCTGACTTCCACTTATGCACCTCTATCAGGTCGCCCCTCGCTCTACGTCTCTCGAGGGAGTGCAAATTAAGATGCTTTAACCTGTCTCTATACTCAAGGTTCCTAATACCCGGGATTAGTCGTGTCATTCTCCTCTGAATTCTTTCTAAGGATTCTATATCCATTCTGTAATACGGTGACCAGAACTGAACTGCGTAACCCAGGTGTGGTCTCACAAGAGCAAGATACAGTTTTAGGATGACCTCGCTAGTCTTGTAACTAACACTGTTTGTATGAACCCAAGTACTTTATTAGCCTTGTTACAAGCAAAAACACATTGTTTACTTGGCTTAAGGTTCCTACTTATCATTACTCCTAAATCTCTCTCGCAGTCGGATTTCTCTATGGCATCGTTGTTCATCTGGTATCTGGTTTCCCTGTTTACATCTCCTATACTGAGTACTTTACATTTGTCCACGTTGAATTTCATCTGCCATTTTTCAGACCATTCGAAAAATTTGTTTAGATATTCCTGTAGTTTTGCGGAGTCCTCTTCAGATTTAATAACACGTCCTATTTTAGTGTCATCAGCAAATTTGCTTATGTTGTTGTCTATGACCCGATAAAAGAACACAGAACAATACCAATACAGTATATCCCCAGGTAACCGCGTTACTACAACTATCAATCATCAAGGACGAATGAGAACAGTTCCAGGAGACAGAAATCACCCCCTCAGAAAGGTTCTATATTTTGTGACAGATAAATAACGTGACAGAGATAGCGGCCATCATTATCATCACTGTCACAATCGGGGAAAAAACACCACATATTTCACCCACTTCACCACACAATGACATTACCTGTGTGGGAGGCCAACAGGTGTATGGGAGACGATAAACGTGGCAGTGTATCTGGGACGGTGTGATAGGTGTGTGGCTCTGGTGTCATTATTTTGTGAGTCGTGTGAGTCGTGTGTGTGTGTGTGTGTGTGTGTGTGTGTGTGTGTGTGTGTGTGTGTGTGTGTGTGTGTGTGTGCGCGCGCGAGGGAGGAGAAAAGACATTGTTCCTACTTCCCCTCGCCCACAACGCCCCCATAAGGCTGCCACTGTGGGTTGTGATGTTGCTGCTACAGTTTTGTATGGCTGTAAGAGAGAGGTGGGGCGGGGCGTTCTTCTCCCCGTGAAGCCTTAAAGGCTAATTCATCGTTTTCTTTAGCGAGCTTCTCTGTCCATCTTTTTATATACTGCATATGAGTTGATTTTAAGACCGCTACTTTCACGTGACTCCCTCCCTCCCACCTAACTCCTTCCTTCTCCCACCTAACTCCCTCTCTTTCTCTCACCTGAACCCCTCCCTCTCTCTCACTTAACTCCCCCCTTCTCTCTCACCTAACTCCCTCCCTCTCTCTCACCTGATTCAGCGTCCACGTCTTAATCGACTCTCAGCCAACTCCTTTTTTTTCCTCTGGGTGAAATTACTCCGTCTTACTCCGGCTTCCGTGAAAGAACTCGACTCAATTATTCTCTCACTTCTGCTCCCGACCAACTTTTACTCCGGCATTTTTCATTAAATTAACTCATAATTATTCCGGTATCTCTCTATCTATCTATCTATAATCTATCTAGCTACCCAGTCTGTCTATCTGTTGTCTGTCTGGCTGTCTAATTTACCTATCCATTCATTCTCTCTCTCTCTTTCTCTCTCTGTCTGTCTCTCTCTCTCTCTCTCTCAGAAACTTAATGCATATATTTTCCTTCTTAAAAAAGCTAAACTAAAAGAAATACTGTATCACCTGACATAATTACCCACAGGTGTTAACACATGACAAAACCGTCAATATACCTTAATAATTTACACGTATATATCATCCCTGTTCAGTGTCCACCTTTAACTTGTCAATCAATAATTCCAATGTTAGGATACAATAACACGTCACTATAATAACTTAGGTGATGTAAGGACACACATATAGCTCTCGGTGTGTGTGTGTGTGTGTGTGTGTGTGTGTGTGACATGATCAAGAATGTGGGAGTGAATATGATTATGAATGTGGGTGTGAATGTGATCATGAATGTGGGCGTGAATGTGGTAAAAACTGTGGGTGTAAATGTGATCGTGAATGTGGGCGTAAGTGTGGGCGCCATAAATTCAAGTCATCAACAACACATACACCCGAAGATGAATGAGGGTGCGTTCGTATATATGAGGGTGCGTTTTCTATACATTAAGTGAAGAACAGTTTCAATATGTTTGTTTTGGTCACCAGATCTTCCAGGAATTGTATAAAAGAGGTAAAATTTAAAGGATAAGAATGTATGTGGGGGAGGGTGTGTGTGTGGGGGGGAGCTGTTGTGTGTGGGGGAGGTGTGTGTTGTGTGGGGGTGGAGGTTGTGTGTGGGGAGGGTGTGTGTGTGTGTGGGTTGCGGTGGGGGAATGTTTTGTGTGGAGGATGTCCTACCTGTATGTATGCGTGGGGGTATTTTGTGTATACATGTGTATATAAGTATGTATGTATGTTACGATAGTTGTGATATCTGCGTAGATATGTTGTATCAAAGAGGAGGGGGAGAAAGAGGAGAAGGTTGATAAGATGTTGAGACGAGGAGGAGAATGAGGAGGTAGAGTACTCACCATGTTTCTGTGCCCAGTCGGTGATGGAGGTGACCCCGGCGGTGTAGGTAGACATACAGTCCTCGAACTTGCCCCTGTGATCAAGCCCCAGAGTGTTGACGTTGGCCTTTACCCCACACATGAGGGCTGTGGCACAGGCTGAGGAGTCCCCGATCTGTGCGTCGATGTTGTACGTCTGTGGGAGAGAAAGAGAGGCGGGTGAGACGTCTAGGGTGGTACAAGGGGTAAAGTCATCGTACTCAAGGGGTTAAGTCATCGTATTCAAGGGGTTAAATAATCGTACTTAGGGAGTCAATTCATCTTAATCAGTAAGTGAAGTCATCATATGCAAGAGGTTAATTCATCGTAATCAATAAATTAAGTCATCGAACTAAAGGATCGTGTGGTGTTGGTGTCGGGATGTATGTATGTAAAATATTTTGTATAATTATTTGTGAGCAAAGCTGGCACTTGATACCTAAAAATTTTCCTAAAATGTATGTACAGTATGTATGTCTGTATGTTGAACTATTTTTGCAGCTTAATGAAGGAGTTTCTTCTATTAGTGCTGTTAGGCTTGTAGTCCACCGGTACACGGTGTGTTTTGTAAATTTATCAGTCACTGCTGGGCATTGGAGGTGAAAGGATGTCTGGGGTTGTAAGTGGTAGACACCTTCTCTAATATGGTTTAGTTGAGTATTATATGCAGTGCTGTTCTATTATTATGTATTATGTGTAAAGTGCAATCAATTATTGTGTTGTAAGGTGGTTTATGGTTTATATACTGTGCACATATTAGTTGTATATTAAGGATGGAAAACAAAGTACAGTTAACTTGGTAAGGAGTCATTGCCTACGATGATTTGTCCATCAATAGTTCATTAACGGTGTATGTAAGTTCCACCATGTTTTTCACTACAACGGTACAGCAAAGTATATTTTTTTAGCATTAAACTGTTATTATTTTATTATCGAATCATCACTACATATAACACCATCCATCATCACTACATATAACACCATCCATCATCACTACATATAACACCATCCATCATCACTACATATAACATCATCATCCATTATCACTACATATAACACCATCCATCATCACTACATATAACACCATCCATCATCACTACATATAACACCATCCATCATCACTACATATAACATCATCATCCATCATCACTACATATAACACCATCCCATCATACATATAACACCATCCACATCATACATATAACACCATCCATCATCACTACATATAACATCATCATCCATCATCACTACATATAACACCATCCATCATCACTGCATATAACACCATCCATCATCACTACATATAACATCATCCCATCATCACTACATATAACACCATCACCATCATTACATATAACACCATCCATCATCACTACATATAACACCATCCATCATCACCACATATAACACCACCCACCATCACTACATATAACACCACCCACCATCACTACATATAACATCTATCATCACTACATATAACAACATCCATCATCACCACATATAACACCATCCATCATCACCACATATAACACCATCATCATCATTAGATATAACACCATCCATCATCACTACATATAACACCATCCATCATCACCACATATAACACCACCCACCATCACTACATATAACACCACCCACCATCACTACATATAACATCATCTATCATCACTACATATAACATCATCATCCCATCATCACTACATATAACACCATCACACCATCACTACATATAACACCATCCATCATCACCATATAACACCATCCATCATCTACATATAACATCATCATCCATCATCACTACATAACACCATCCATCATCACTGCATATAACACCATCCATCATCACTACATATAACACCATCCATCATCACTACATATAACATCATCATCAATCATCACTACATATACTACATATAACACCATCCATCATCACTACATAACACCATCATCATCACTACATATAACATCATCATCCACCATCACTACATATAACACCATCCATCATCACTACATATAACACCATCCATCATCACTACATATAACATCATCATCCATCAACACTACATATAACACCATCCACCATCACTACATATAACACCATCCATCATCACTACATATAACACCATCCATCATCACTACATATAACATCATCATCCATCATCACTACATATAACACCATCCATCATCACTGCATATAACACCATCCATCATCACTACATATAACACCATCCATCATCACTACATATAACACCATCCATCATCACTACATATAACACCATCCATCATCACTACAGATCAGTAAAGTAGTTTCCGAGATTCTCGTGCGGACACACACACACACACACACACACATACATACTTCTTTGTTTTATATATATATATATATATATATATATATATATATATATATATATATATATATATATATATATATATATATATATATATATATATATATATATATAGTGGCCGGAGTGTCGAGATAACTATTCCACATGTGATTAAACTGAACATTACATAAAAAAAAGCAATCCAACGAGCTGTGTATTTTTTTCATATATGAAAAAATAACAAAAGCATAGTGATTACACGCCTGGCAACGTGTATAATGAGATGTACACAAAGGGAAAAATCTCTTCCAGGCACTAACATTATCAATAAGTTGTTCTGGGCGTTGAATTTGCGTTGCAATTTCAGTCCAACGTCAATCAACGCTGATATGACGTAACCTGTCCATTGGATGTGGGTTTTCGTTCACACACACACACACACACACACACGTCTCCATCACCACTACACATACCTCACCTAACATAGCCTAACCTAACCCGATCTTGTCCCCTAAGATAGCGTTAGGGTGGTTAATCATCAGGTGAAATTAGGTTGGAGAGCTAATCTTCAGGTGCTTCATTTCCTTAACTATTACTCAGTATTGGATGATATATATATATATATATATATATATATATATATATATATATATATATATATATATATATATATATATATATATATATATATATATATATATATATATATATATATATATATATATATATTTTTTTTTTTTTTTTTTTTTTTTTTTAATCTAGCAAGTTAAAGCTAAAGATATTCCAAGTAAATCGGGATTCGTCAGCGGATTCGAATCTCGATACCGGAGCGTTATAACACACTAAATGTTGGATAAACAGGGATTTGTTAGAGGGTTCGAATCTCTGAAGATATTGATCCGTGGTTCGTGATCTGGATTCGAACAGGTGTATAGAAGGTCAAATCATCCACGAAAACAACTTTTGATTCCTTAGTTTTCGTGAGCCCGAGTACAGAGCATTCCAGAGTGGTGAACAGGATTCGAACCAGTGAACCATAAATTAAACCCAATGGCACACTATCATTTATAGAGAAACCCAGGGTGTCAGGTAGCCCCGAGTGCCAGGTAGGTCAGGTAGCCCCGAGTGCCAGATAGGTCAGGTAGCCCCGAGTGCCAGGTAGGTCAGGTAGCCCCGAGTGCCAGATAGGTCAGGTAGCCCCGAGTGCCAGGTAGGTCAGGTAGCCCCGAGTGTTAGATAAGCCAGGTATCCCCGAGTGCCGGGTAGCCCAGGTAGCCCAGGTAGCCAACATATCTCATTACCAGACGAGAGTAAGCCGTTCAACACAATGCTATGTTTTGTGTGACCAGTGCTGGCAGCCTATTACAGTCTAATGCATATATCATAGCCACAACACACCTATGAATACGAATAGGTCATGTCAGCTGGGGTCATGACCTTGGAGTGATGACGGGAGATGGGGGAGGAGGAGTGGGTGGAGGAGAGAGGGGAGGGAGGGCGAGGGAAGAGTGGAAGGAGTGTGAGGGCGGAGTAGGAAGAGGAGAGAAAGGAGGGAGGATAGGGAAGGTGAGAGAAGAGTGGAAGGATGAGGGGGGGGGTGAGTAGGAGGGAGAGGTGGAGGGTGATGAGGACGAGGAATAGCGTTGGAGGAGAAGGGTGAGGGGTGGGAGGAGGAGAGAATGGGAGGGTGGGAGAAGGAGGGAGGTGGGGTGGGTGAGAGTGGGGGAGGAGGGTGGCAGTAGGAGGGGGCGTATATGTGAGGGAGGAAGAATAGGTAGGGAGGGAAAGAGGGGTTGTAGGAGGAAGAGAGGGGGGTAGGAGTAGGAGGGGAGGGTAGGATTAGGAGGGGAG